CCCGGCTAATTTATGATTTATTGTAGAGATGAGGTCTCGCCAAGTTGCCCAGATGGGTCTCGAACCCGCAGGCTCAGGCAATCCACTCACCTCAGCCTCCCAAGGCGCGGGATTACAGGCTGAGCCACTGAGCCCTGCTTAACCTCACTTTTTTAAGGCACATAATTCCTAGTAGTTAAGAAACTCAACGTACCAGTGAATTGATCACTAAATTCAGCCTTTCCTCAACAAAAATTAAGTCCCTGAGAGAGTAGAGCTTTCCATTTTAATAAAATTAGGAAAACTTACATATTTCATTAGGCAAGTTTGTTAGACTGTATTTATTCCATAAAAGATCTGTATGCAAATGAAATCTCATTGTTCATTGTGTTGTAAAGCTGGTTGAACTGTTCCCCTTGGATGCCAAGAAAGATTTCTTTAACAGCAGATGACAGTATTCTAAAAATATATCTTAAAGAATCACTAATACAGGAACTGAATAATTTTATGAGTTTGGTTGGGTTTTAGGAAGTGGCTATTCTTCTGAGAAGGCTTAGGATATATAGAAGATCATGCAGCATACTTTGGATTCAACAGGCACTAGTACTCAGAAGTTGTACTCAGAAGAAATTTCCATTGGTAAGCATTTACATTGAGGGATATTTCATTCTCTTCCCAAGCCCAAAAGTTACCATTCAAATTTTTAGAAATTGAGAAGATAGGTTCTTGGCTTATACTTTTAAAATACTATTGTTACCATACAAAAGAACCATGCCACAGAAAACTTAAAATTTGATTCTTAAAGCACCTAGCATCCCATGCCCTTAGTCTCATCTGTGGAACCTCTAATTCCTCCTCATTTTTTTTTCTTTAAGTTTAAATGCATTTTTTTTTTTTTTTTTGAGTTGGAGTCTCACTCTGTCGTCCAGACTGGAGTGCAGTGGCCGCTCCCGGCCACCGCAGCCTCGGCCTGCTGGGCTCCAGCGATCCTTCCGCCTCAGCCTTCCGAGTAGCCGGAATTACAGGCATGCGCCACCACACCCAGCTGATTTTTTGATTTATTGTAGAGATGAGGTCTCACTGCCCAGGCGGGTCTCGAACCCGCGGGCTCAGGCAATTCACTCACCTCAGCCTCCCAAAGGCGCGGGATTACAGGCTGAGCCACCGAGCCCGGCTTAAATGCATTTTTGAAAACAGTTTTCAACTTGTCCTTTTTTTTTTTTTTGAGTTGGAGTCTCTCTCTGTCGCCCAGACTGGAGTGCAGTAGCCGTTCCCGGCCACCGCAGCCTCGACCTGCCGGGCTCTGGCGATCCTTCCACCTCAGCCTTCCAGGTAGCTGGAACTACAGGCACGCGCTATCACACCTGGCTAGTTTTTGCTTTTTATTGCAGAGACAGGTCTTGCCAAGTTGCCCAGGCAGGTCTCGAACCCGCGGGCTCAGGCAATCCACACGCCTCGGCCTCCCAAAGTGCTTGGGATTACAGGCTGAGCCACCGAGCCCGGCCTCAACTTGTCTTAGGTGGGGAATATCAGCTTAAGATTTTCCTCCCACTATCAGGTTGAACTTGGTTTGCTCTGCTGATTGTGGCGTTAGGTGTTGTAAATGCTACGGACCTTGAATACACAGTATTCTGAGGTCAGATTTATTCATCCTTGGTGGTGGACTGACTGAACATCGTAATCACAACCCCTACTTGAATGCCATGGGCTGCAAGGCTACCCCAGTGCCAGTGGCTGGGCATGAAAGTGGATGTCTGGCAGGATGGACCAAGTAGATTGAAACTAGTTCTGTACCTCAGCAGCAAACCTTGGAGGGTTGGTAATAGGTGCTGATTGCCACTGAAATTTCCAGGGAGGAGAAGATTGTATCTCTGAGAAAGTAATTGGGAAGGTTTACATATTTAGAAGAAAGCCCTGTTAAATCTGGGGTGCATTTCTTTTCTACTTATTGATTACTAAGGTCAGGCCCGAGCCAGGAATTTGCCATTTGTTTTCCTTAGCCTGGATACCCTGTCCCTCATCGTTATAAATTTGTATTGCAAAACCTATATTTTGGAAAAGTAGTTGGGCCTCACAAAAAATATCCTTGATTCTGAAGAGAAGACGTCGAAAAATGCGTCCATGGCTTTGCTGCTTTCTTAGATTCGATTACCTTGAGTCGGTGTTCCTCCTGCTCTCGGTCTTTCCTTTTTGGGTGTGGAATTGTGGGAAGGCCGCTGGCCTGGCTGACCTCCCCGGCTGTCAGGCTGCAGGGCTAGGCCGTGAGCCTCTCTCAGCCTTCTACCTCTAAAATTTAGCCTGTAATCCCGCGCCTTTGGGAGGCTGAGGTGAGTGGATTGCCTGAGCCCGCGGGTTCGAGACCCGCCTGGACAGCGAGACCTCATGTCTACA